GTTGCAGGGCAGCATAATTGCAACGCAGCTCCCCTGACAGCTGGCATCTAGCTCTGTGAGGGCTGACATCTCATCTGCTTTTGTTGAATCAAGTGTGTGTGATATTGTGAAGGTGATGTGAAAACTGGAGGAGAAAAAGCCCTTGAGCGGGCAGCAAACCCTTTCTTCCTTTGAAAAAGAAGTAAATAGCAGGAGCTGTGTCTCTTATTGGATATAGCACTTGCTGTTGTATTAAAATTTCCAGGTCACATGCTGAACAAGCCATCGTGTGTACTTGACCATACAATGTTTGATGGGCACGACACTGATTTTACTGATCCCTCTGCTCTGGAGAGCAGGATAAGTAGAGGGTGCAGCTGATTCTCCGCATGATTTGCTGGAGGGTAGCGCTAATGAGAAACCCCTAATGTGAAAAAAAAAGGGCTTATAACTGGGGGAAAAAAAATCCAATGAATGTTTAAAAAGGAAGATTCAGCTCAGCTGTTCCCATAGGGGGTTTGCTGACCAGCTTTTTTCTTTTTGATATCACTGCAGATCAGCAGTTCACACTCTGTATTACAGACCTTTCTTCTAAAGCTTGCCAGCTCTCCCTTCCAATGATTTAACAGAACATTCTTGCTGTAGATATGCAGAAACATGCTGAATTTTTGAGACCAGAGACTGGATTTTTAATGTTAGCAAGAGTGTATTTGTCTTTGATTCACAAGTATAATAATTTAAGAAACAAATAATCAGAGGAAATAGATTTCAACATTGTGTTTCATCAGCAGACTTAGATGCAGTGGGGTATCTTTTAGAGTCAAATAATAATCTTCAATTTCTACAACAACTTAACATTCTTATAATAAAAAGAAGATTCTATAGGGCAGTATTATCAATAAATTACATATTTTTGTATCCTGCCTTCTAAAGCAGCCCCATTCAGAGCTGTGACTGAAGAAAGCCACAGACAAACACAGCAGTGTCAAAGAACATGGTCTGCACCACCCCATGGCAACACAGAAAATGTGTTTTCTTTTAGGTTAGTGAGATATAATAACTTCTGTGATTAACAGGAATGTTGACTAAAATCAGACCTCTCATTAATTTACCTTAATTACAAGATATAGGTAGTACTTTTTAAATAAACAATTGAAAGGAAGGAAAATAACAGAGATAATTATTTGAGAAATATTGATAAATGATTGACATTTATATACTATAAATGAAATTCAGCTAGGTATAATGTCTTTGTTGCTGTAAAAGCTTTATAGACAGAAAAATTACAATGAGGTATAATATTTTTTCTTAGTACCTGAAATAATTAATAAACAAAGAAAGAAAAAAGGCAAAAACCCCCATCAATTAAAAAGCCCTCTTGCAGATGAGGTAATCCTCAATTTCACATCTTTTGTCTCTGGAATACATGTGCATTTTTTCTTCTACTAGACAGGTTTATCTGAGGAAAAAAAGAAAGGTGGGGTGAATTTAGTACTGGAGAAGTGAAATTTAAAGCAATACCTGAAAAAGAGTTAGGTAATATTTTCTAGGTTATCTTACTACTTACATTGTAGTAACCTAATGTATTTCTGTCTACTTCATTGTTTAATTAAAGGTAAAAAAGAAGCACAAATTAAGAACTATATAATGTCAGTGAACATTACCTACATTTCATGTTTGTATCTACTGATACTGCAGAATTCCAAATAACAATTTGTGAATTACACTATGGACTGCCAGCCAAGGAGGTGTTTTCTAGCTGTTATCAACATTGTTTACTTGTGAAAGGTTCTGTTCACGCGTCCTTTCGTATTACTGCTTAAAAGACACCCATTCACATACTTGAAAACATAGGTATGTTTAAATATTTATGGAATGAGGAGAATTTCTAAAATTTTCCTCTAGAAGACTGTTAGTGGGAATTTGTATGTTGAAGTAGACATGTGGCAGGCACAACCAATTTTTAAACTCATAGAACAGTTTAGACTCATAAACAGCCCAGCTTGGGAGAGCCCTCCAAACTGGTTCAGCCTTTTGTGGGAAAGGGAGCATAGATGAGATTGTTTAGCACCATGCCCAGTCATATCTTGAAAATCTCTGGTGACCTTCTCATGTCTTTGTGGAGTTTGTTCCCACTGTAAAAATTTTTTTTCTCTATTGAGATGAAACCTTTCCCAGTGTAACTTGTGTTCCTTGCCCCTTGTCTTCTCTCTACTGTACTCTGAAGAGACACCACCTGGAATACATCCAGCTCTGGGGCCCCCATTGCACGAAGTCCATAGAATTGCTGAAGCAAGTCCAGAGGAGGCCACAAAGATGATTACAGGGATGAAACACCTCTCCTCTGAAGAAAGGCTGAAAAAATTGGGGTTGCTCAGAAAGGAGAAGAGAAAACTCTGGGGTGACCTTGTAGCAGCATTTCAGTTTCTAAAGACTGCAGGAGAGCTAGGGAGGGACTTTTCATAAGGGCATGTAGTGACAGGACAAGGGGTAAGGGCTTTAAACTGAAGGAGTGCAGGATTAGATTAAACAGTGGGAAGAAATTCTTCACTGTGAGGGTGGTAAGGCACTGGAACAGGTTGCCCAGAGAAGCTGTGGATGCTTCATCCCTGGAAGTGTTCCAGGCCAGATTGGATGGAGCTTTGAACAACCCAGTCTAGTGGAAGATGTTTCTGCCCATGGCAGGAGGCTTTGAACTGGGTCATCATCAAGGCCCCTTCCAATCCAAATCCTTCTAAAATTTTATGATTCTATGATTCTCCATGTGATTTCTGTTAAAGAAAGAGCCTCCATCTTTGTAGCCACACATTACGTGATGGAAAACTTCGGTAAGGTCAGAAAACGTTAAGTTAAATTAACCTGCTCAATGCTGCCCTGGGAGGGAATGTGACAGAGACATTCAAACTCTCAGGGATAGCTGTGGGCAGGGTGAGAAGTGCCTGCCTTCTTGCTGTTTCGTTCCCCCTTCAGCAGAGGAGATGAGTGCTGTGTGTGCCAGTGCAGCTGCTGAAGGACAGACATCCAGCAAGTGCAGGAATGACGAATGAGTGTGGAGTGAGACAGGAGCTGCTGAGCCATGCCCACATCCCATAGCTTACACCAAAGGGTGCCCTTCCCTCAGATGGCCAGGATTTAATGCTTCCAGCCATCCCTGCCCGAGGAGATGGCAGCTCCCAGAGCTGCTGGCTGGCTCCTGGGGTTGTTCCCATGGACGTGGTGTGTTACATGTGCGTGTCTTTGCCCAGCCCAGCTGCCACGTGTGAGCTGGGTGTGCTACAGGCTCCGCAGGGGCAGAGCAGAGGCCCTGTGCAGGCCAAGAATCTTGTTCCTGTTATTTCCTTTCCTGTGTTCTGTCTGTGAAGGATGGTGTTTTGAGGGCTGCTGCAGAAAGTTTTCACTCTAAAGAGGCCTGACCATGACTTCTAGATGATTAGCTGTCACTTTGAATGCAGAACCTGCTTCTAGCATTGACCGTTTCCATTTGTGATTTCCTTCATCTGTTCTACAGCTCTTTGGGACTGTTTAAGCCTGCCAAGAAAAGCATGGTCCCACTGATAAACTGGTTTTCCTCTGAAGCCTTTTGCCTCTCAGTGTCTGAAAAATATTTTAAATGGATGGGTTTTCACTGCACACTCCTGTTTTACAAAGGAAGTTTCAGGGAAATTATTCTCAGACCAAAAATTGTTTTTTGTATTTTTGCTGATGCCACAAATATAATGTTTACTATGTATGTATCTCACATGCAAAAAACAGTTTTCTAAGCAGTAAAATTCTTGGAGTAATCAAAAAATCTTTCTTCAAATAACACATGGATGTACAAAGCTGAAAGGGGTTTGATCGTTATTTGATAACAGTGTCCTTAGTGCTAAATCACACTGAGAAAGTAAGTAACATGTGATGGATTCAAAGGGTGAAAAAAATCAAATAACATCATCTAAAATAAAGGTAACGATATTTAGAATGTTTTCCAGAACTATGAATAGATGCAGTTCATGGTTCTCCTTCTTTGGTTGTTCCAGACATTTTCATTAGGAAGAAGATGCATGTCATATAGCTTCGGTGCATGCTGTATCAATTGGCATTAAACAGTAGTGTATCCTGCACAATTTGTTAAATCCCATCATTAGTCCACAGAATTGCAACTCTTCATTACCTGTATCCTTTTAGGAAGTGGGATTAAAGTCAAGTTTCTTTGGGTGTTTCTTACACAGGATTTTTGTTTCCTGGTGCTATGTGGTTATTTTAGTTTCTAAAATAAATTTTAATTTGAAAATCTGAAGGTCCTCTCACAAACATTTGGTGCATTTCTTTTTTTATCACATCTTCTCTGGGCCTATTGCTTGATGTCTCTACAAAAAAACAAACAATAAAAAATTGTGTTTTCTAACATTTCTCTGAGAAAGCTCTTTCCAAGGGTATAGTGACAAGACTGAGTTTCTTGCGCTGCACACAAGATGGGGTTTTCAGGATTTTTTTCCTTCAAGGGCATATGGGACTGTATTTTCATAGATAGTCACCACAGGGGCCAGATTTTTCATAAGCATTCTGCATGCAGAAAACCCCTGATTTATATAGACAGATTTCATAAATCTGGCCAACTTTTGTGTTATGAACATTCCTAATATCTCAACCTGAAATGACTGAATTAAAGCATATGTCTAGACTGTAGGAAAACTATCTTCAGTCCTTGTCTATTAATTGCCGAAATGACAACCAGATGGAGTGGTGTGACTCTCTTTTGGCCCAGGTTTTCTTCCCATGGCTTTGAAATACGCACCTGAGTCCAAGAGCAGTGCCTGTGAGTGTTATCGTAGCACAACAGCTCTCCTGAATTTGTGGAATTGTCATGGACAGTCTTGTGTCTGACTTATGAAGAGCCACTTGAGTACACTTTCTCTTGGTAGAAAGTGCTATAACAAGCTAAATAACCCTGTTTCCTTCTGCTGGAATATGTCTTAGTACTTTAAGGCAAAGTGTTTGCAGGTTGATGTGTTCTTGATTTTTCTTCTCTTTTTTGACAGCTCCTAGACTGTTTTGTCATCCCAGTGGTGATACTCCTCTCCTGGTTCTTCTTACTGGTACGATACAAGGCAGTACATTTCATTGGGATTGTGGTCTGCATTCTGGGCATGGGCTGCATGGCAGGAGCAGATGTCCTCGTTGGGAGGCAGCAAGGAGCAGGTAAGTAAGAATGAATGGGTTGTATGGCCAAGTTCTGTTCAGAGAAGCCGTTGACCAGTGTGTGTCTCACTGGGGCCAAGAAAGGGGGGAAATTTGGCAAGAAACTCTGTACCTTCATGGATCCAGAGCACTGCACCATTCAGAGTTGTCTCTCTTTCACAAGGGCTACACTTACAAGTCAGCAGTGCTGCAAACAGGCTTCTTGGGCCCTGTGTCTTGCAACACAGGTCACCCTCTGCAAGCCGGTGGGGACAAGCTAAGTATTTGTAGTTTCGTTGACTTTTGGCTTAGCTGTTGGACTGCAAGCCGCAAAAGCTTCCTTACCAACTTGGCTACATTTCTGAGTCGTAAGCACCTCTCCCATCCTGACCACTGTGAGCTCTTGCTTCTCAACTTTGTTTTTCTACAGAAGTGGGGTCACTTGGTAGGTGCTGAAGGACACCAAACCTATATACTACAAGTTGGGTTTTGCACACAGTCTTGTACTAAAGCTTTGGGACTTGACTGTAATGTTTTCAAAAAGAGCCTCCTTGTGTGTAAAAAGTTCTTTTTTTATGTGTTGCATCATATGAATAACGTGTGTGTATCTATCAATGCAGACTAGACAGAGTTAGATTTCTTCGATCTACTTACCCTGTCACATTGATTTCTCTACTGCCAAGCCAAATGATGTGGGAAGGCTGGAAATTCTTTTCAAAGATTGTCAATTAGGCACAGTTTTCATTCTTAATTAAAAGCACTGAATTGTGAGCAGAGCATAATACATTGGGATTTAAAATTCTTGACTCAGCTTTCTGAATACAAATGCAAGTGCTGTAAAAACTGCTTTTGCCAGAATGCTACTAAATAAAACAATGGAGTTTGTGACATCGCTCACCATATCTCACTGCATCCTTTTATCTCTGTCCTTAATCCTGAAAGGAGACTTTTAGTTATTGGTCTCCTCCAGAAGTAGGCTTACCCCAGCTAAAAAATAAATAATATACTCTGTACTATGTACTATGCCAAAGCTGTATTGGGAATGGCTGATTTCAGAGGGATTGAGCTTTCAAACCAGGATTCCAGAAGAAACATCCTGTGTCCCAGCAGTCTAGAGAGTGACATGCTTGAACGGGTGAGCTGTGGATCAGCAAGGGCATGAGGGGCAGTGGAAGCGGACAAGGAACAGATTGAGGAACACCGACACTTTGCCATCCAACTGCAGTAATTAGATGTTATTTGCCATGTTCATTATTAAAGCATGGGTATAGCTGTTAAGTAAATTTGTCCAGAAAAATCTGTTAACATGCATTATTACATTTTAATTTGGACCTACACATGAAAAACTGTGTCCATGCTTACTGCTATGCAGCTTTTTTACGTGTTTTAGTGGTATAATGATGTTATTAATGATGCTGTCTTTAACAGAGTAAAATAGATCATCTAGTTTAATTTCTTTGAAAGGCTAAAACTGCACATTAAAATGTACAAATAAAAAGAATTAGTGGCAGGAAAAAAAGAACAAAATTATTGAAACTCTTCATTAAGGGGTTGTACACCATTTATAGGATGTTTCCTAGGACTAGATAAACTAAAGTAAGGAAGACACCAAAGGCAATATTTCTTTGTTAATCCTCGGTAAATGTCTGTTTATCTTATATTTTAGGGTACAAGAACTATTGATACCTGTGTGCCCCTGTTGATCACACTGCTTACTGTGTTAGAAGAGCCATAAGGCTCTGCTAGGTACCCACAGCATAGGGCAATTTAGCCTGCCAACTCTTACAGTAAGGGAACATGAATTTAAAATGTATCCCTGAGAGATTAATAGGTATTTTCCAAACTATCTGCAGGAATTGAGTATAATGTGCACACATACTTTTCATTCTCAATTGTATCCTTACTGGTATTTTACACATTACTTAATGGGAAAAAAGTTACTATTGAGTATTTAGTGCTCTGTCATCTTACTTGCCAAGTATACCTGAAAATAACATTATTCTGAACTAATATCCATGAGTTACTTTCATACTTCTGCTCCTGCCCTACACAGGGGCCTAAGCCACACAGGTCTAAGTGTTTCATCCAGGTTTTTCAAAGCACTTCATAGCTTTAACTTACAACAGTCTCTGAAAGCCAGTCATATCAATCCTGCTAATACATGTATCAGTCTTCAATTTAAAATGGGACACATTGAGAGTGATTTTAGGTATCATGGTCATCAGTAACTACAATCAAAAGCAAAGAGAAATACCTCTTAATGGCAGGGGCTAGGACAAGAATGTGACAAAAAGGCCTGTTGGGAGAAAAGAAAATCATGTTGTGTGAAAAGAAATCATGTCAGAACACAATTCACATTTAAAAGATTTGTGTTACACTAGAATGCTGTAACTAGTTCCCAAAACACTAACTCCGCTCTGGACTGTATGACTTCTCCACAGAATATTAAATATAGGAACAATCATTAATGTAAAGCTTGTTTTGCCAGGCTATGCCTTATGTGTCTTCTGAAGAATGACCTACGCCGTTAAATTGGTCAAATACAACTTTATTATCCTAAAAGTCTTTAGAATGCCTCTAGTTAGTTTCCTTAGCAATGAAACCGGTAGATGCATGTGGATATTACATCCATGAAAATAAGTCTATAGAGATATGTCAGTCTTGGGGGAAAGTTTCAAAGTCTCAGCCTCTCGAGGAAGCAAAGATGAGGCATTTGACAACCAGAATAGTAATTGCTAAGAAAGAAAGCAAAAACATATTTTACAACATTTTTACACCAGTATGTCAAGTTTTAATGCACTAACTCTTTGGGTGCCATGTATTACTCTAGGCTCTGCATCTCAAAAGGAAGTCATTAGAAAACAAGCCTGTATAAGCTATGGAGAAAGGTGAGAAAGCTTTAGGGCATAAAATGGGTTCAGATGAAGAGACTAGCCAGACTGGGACATTCCAGCTCTCAGAAAAGGCAAGAAAGTGACAGATCCTGTAAAGGTATATGAAGTCTTCAGTGATATGGAAAGGGTCAATACAGAGTGATTTAAAATATTTCTCAGAAAATTATGGATGACTAATACGACTTTGAGGCATCCCGCGTGAAAGTTAAAAGCATGAAGTACTTCTTAATAGTAGGCCAAAAATATACAGATTTTACAAACTGATGAAGAATCCCTCAAGCTTTATTAAATTTGATGGTCTAATGCAACTTCTATCTCAGAAAATGCCTAATCTGCAGAGAACTGGCTGATAAAAGTCCCTCTGTACTTCCCTATTTGTTTATGCTCTCCTCAGCCACCCTGTGCTGCGGAGTACCTGAGGAGGTTCCAGTGTCAGTCTGGTGCTCTGAACAGATCTTGGCTCCCTCTTCTGGGAAAGCCCTGAAGGCTGAGGCTCACACTCAGCATGAGAGCTCTTTGGGAAGAGCTATCAGGGTGCGATGCTTGAGGCCATCCCATCTGTGTGAAAATGCTCAGCCTCTGAGCTGCTTTTGTTCCATAGATGTAAAAGGATGATATTTTTGTCCCAGCAGAAGCTGTAAGGTCAAAAGCCTTTTCAGAAATATTTCCTTGAAGTGTTAGTGGGTAGCTGCAATAAATACCAAATAAGTGAGCTCAGTGAGGAATCAATGGAGCCACTGTGAAATATGAATGCATCAGGGGTATGAAGAAATTTTGTAAAGCGCTGATGGTTATTTTAAATTAAGAACATCTTCCATTACTGATTGCAAGAGAAGACTAAAGTAAGAAAAAAAACAAAACCAAAAAACCTAATAAAACCAACAAAACAACCAAATCATAAAAAGATAAATATAAGCATATTGCCAGTCAAGGAACATTGGAAACAGAAATTCAGTGAAAGGCTGGATGAGTATGTCAAAAACAAATCTAGTAATGTTTGCTAAATATATAGAAGCAAGATTTCATCTGAGATGAAAAATGCTGGAATCTAAGAGAGTATTACTGGGAATATTTTACACTTCACTCCATTCCTATTGTCCTTAAACAAAATATACTTTTTCTGGTGCTTATAGCCAGTGTTGGAGACGGGATTAATGAACCCTTGGGCTGTCCTCTTATGGCTGTTTTTATTATCATAAATTTCTTCCCCGTAGAAATTTCAGCACTACAGTTTGGAATGATAACTGAAGGCTTAAAAGAACTCCTGAAAGGAAAAAGTTGAAAAGATAATTTTGAACCAATCAGAATATTTGGTTTCCATTTTTTATTTACTGCAGTGTATATTTTACAAATCAATTGAATTAAAAATTTAAAAGGCAGGGACATAAAAAATACACCACGGTATTTTAAGAAAACGAGATTTCTTTTTAAAAAAAATACATTCCAGTACTTCAGCATTTTTGCTGAAACTTTTCAAAGTAAAATCCATTATATCCAGCCTTTCAGAATATGGTTCTGCAGCAATATCTGACAGCTTTGTGAAGCTGTAGCTCTTGTAGAAATAATTTAACAAGCCATATGTGCAGAGGGAATTGCATGCACCAGTTTGCAAAGCTAGGGACTCAGTTTTCAAGCTGGAACTTGATCTTGATCAAATGTCACTGCAGCTCTCCCTAACACCCAATAATAAAATCTTCCAAGACTTAAAAACATTTCAAGCAGTCTTTGATAACAAAATGTTTTAGTAATTCTGTATACCTGCAGGTATTGAAAATACATCTTGTTCTTTGCATGCATTAGGTACTGCTATGTTAATTGAACCTCGTTTAAAAATCTGTCATTATCATCACCCTGTCTACACCCCATCCTTCCTTCTCCCTTTCTTGTCAAACAGCTCCATGTGAGAATGAGGTCAGTATTAGGTTGTAATGATTTCTTCACTCATTTCACAGGTACACAGAATTTTTTAGTTGTCCTCAGATCTAAGTACTGAACATGTTTTAGACTGGTTAAATTTCAAGATGAGATGCATACTGCTCTACAGAGCTGAGTCACATCCTCCCTGCAAAGAAAAAAAAAGGTAGTAATAATAAAGGAAAAAGGATAAGTCTCTGAAGAGTGTCACTTGGATTCTATACTTTTTCTACAAGTTTTTCAGAATTTTTTTGGCTTCTCATTTCTACAGCAAAGAATATTCTCTCCCTTTGTCTCTGCTAGACTTGGCTGGTATATTGAATAAAAACTGTTAAAATGACAGAACATTTGCATTCATTTTATTAACCCAGATAAGGGCTAAGTAGTGACTGCGAAATGAAATCTGTAGGGAAGAACATGCAATGGATTTGGACAAGAGATGGTTGTTTTGAGGCATTCTGATTTTTCTTCTATTTATCCCTAGGTGAAAATAAACTGATAGGGGACCTCTTAGTACTTGGTGGAGCAACACTATACGGCATCTCGAATGTCTGTGAGGAGTACATCGTCCGAAATCTGAGTCGAGTGGAATTCCTGGGCATGATCGGACTCTTTGGCTCCTTCTTCAGTGGAATTCAGCTGTAAGTGGGCAGGTTTGAGCCCACTAAGGCTCAAATAAATGCAGCTGTGGGCCTCCATTGATATGCACTAACCACTTTGTCAAAATTAGCCCTTTCCTGTGGAGAGCAGGTGTCTATTCTAATTGGTGTCTATTCTAACAGGTGTCAATTCTAATCTTGGAATTTGCATTGGTTTTCGTATTTCATATTGGAGATTTGAATAATAACACAAATTTTTACCCAAGTACTGTAATTCAAGGACCAGTGTCCTTGAGTAGTCACATGAAGAGGAAGAAGACATGTCCCACCATCTTGCTGCTGGAAGACAAGTGGATACTTGTACAATCTACAGCTTCTTCTGGTTCTGTTTCATACTTTTAAAAAGTCGCTTTGATTTCTAAAGAGGTAGAAAACACATCCAGTCAGAAGGTATTTTATGGGTTCACTTGTTCTGTGAATCTACATTATCATATGGCAGAAATAATGAAAAAGCCTTTAAGAAAATGGCCTTTTCACTTAAAAAATATTTAGCACATAGGAGATTGTTGCATGGATTTCAGGGTCTACAGAGTCTGGTCTATATCCACATGTATCTAATGAGCATTTCAACTTCAAGCCTAATAGTAGGAAGGTGGCTTCCAATGTTGCAGTACAGTGACTGATGTAAAAGTAGTTCTGCAAGATTGCTGCATTTTGTGCAGGTCTGCCACTGGTGCTTGTAACACAGAATAACTTTTGATTATTGTCCAAAACAAGTTGCTTTTCTACAGATCTAATCTACTCTGCTTCTAAGAACGGAGACTGATCAAAAAATCACAGTCCATCAATTTCTACTTCAGTAGTTCTTTTTTTTTTTAGCTATAAAGCGTAATATATTTATTTGGGATCTGGACAAGTGTTTTAAAATTATTTATATTAACTAACTGCCATACAGTAAGTTCCCTTTTAAAAAATATGGAATTTAAGAGCATGTAAATGTGCCTAGTATCTTGGGGTAAAACATTTTTTTATGTTTGTGATGAAGTAGATACTACAAGTGCCCTTGTCTTGCTCTGTGTGTGTAAACTGTCATGTAAATGTCTCATATTCCAAAGTTCAGTTGTAGTGCCATTACTCCCTCTTGACCCAAGCAGTTAGTCACAATTCAGGGTCTGTGAGCTGTTCTGCTGATGAGAATCTGGTTTTGGGATAAGGCATCTTTGTATAAAGACACAACTGGAGGGAAACAATAAGAAACCATTTCTTTGCTGAAAGCCATAAGGTTTTTCTGTTTAACCTTTGGCCCAAAAGTACACTCCAACAGGTTTTTCTCCACCAGTCTCTGCAGATTTTTGCTGATGGTGCTTTTTGGGCACCTTCTGGAGACCCAACCACACTTCATACCTGTGCCTTTTTCTTACCTTTACCTGTAATGAATAGCAGAAGTCACAGTTATGTGTTCACAGAGATCTAATCTAACTAGATATAACACTTCAAAGAGAAGCCAGTTCCTCATGTTAAATTTGCAGGCTCTTTCTTTGAAAAACTACTGGCCACTTTGGTGCAATATAGAACCTTTAGATCCTCTAAACTGAGGGAGTCTTAGACTGTGACATAAAATAAACACACATAATGCCTGTTGTGCAGCAAAGGAGGAAGAGCTAAGGTGTCAGGGGAAACAGTGAGTTAATGAGTTGGCTGATTACCCAGACATAGTGAAAAGAGAAGTATGTTAGTATGTTGAATATAATTAAAGCAGGGAGGAAGAATAACAGATTAGTTTACAAGAGCTGGGGATGTCACAGTTACCCAGCAAATGGAGATAAGGTTATCTGATGGAATCACATAATCATAACATGGCCTATTTTCTAATGGCCCCCTAAAGGTCATCTAGTTCAAGCTCCTACTCAAAGCTAGCTTCAAAGTTACAGCAGGTTGCTTAGGATCTTTTTCAGTTGATTTCTGTGTATCTCCAAGAATGGAACTGCCATTCATGCTGGTTAACCTTTTGTAGTGTTTGACATCTTTTTTCCCTTGATATTTGATCAGTTTTCCACATTGCAACTTGTGTCCATTGTCATTCATCCTTTTGTTGTACAGCTCCAAGAAAATTATGACTGTCTTGTCTGTAACTACCCATCTCATAGTTAAGATGGAAAATTTATTGTTGTGTCCTCCTTTCCCCCAGCTTAGCCTTCTCTTCTACACACTAAGAAAACCCTGCTGTTTCAGCATCTCCTTTTACATCCTGTCCTCAATCTACCTGACCATTGTGATGGAGATCCACTGTACTCCCTTCAATTTGTTGTTGTCTGTCTTGTTCTAGACAGCCCACGATTTGATACAGTACTCTTGTTGCTGTCTCACAAATCGCATCCTTCAGCTTTCTGGCCAGACTTACTAATACAGCTCAGGATGCTGTTGCCCTCCTTTGCTCCAGGGACACATTGCTGACTTGTGTTCAGGTTGATGTCCACCATCACTCTAAGGTTTATTGCTGGAAAACAGCTTTCTATCCAGTCACCTCCCAGCCTGTACTCTTTCAGTGTCACTCCACCCCAGCTGCAGGAGTTCTTCTTGAACTTCATGAGATTTCTGCCCACCCTTTTCTTTAGACAACATTGTAGATAGTCTACCCATCTAGTCCATACCTCTTGAGTCACAAAAGATCTTTAAGGAAATCATGTTGGAAACCTTGCTAAAGTAACAGTGGGTTACACCACATCCTCTCATCCATTCTCTCTCCTCTATTTACTGATCCAGTCACCTCATCATAGAAGGCAGCTAGTAGGGGCAGGTTTGCTTGAGAGCCCTGTTCTGGCTGTTCCCATCATCTTCTTCCCTTCCTGCAAATGGCTTCTGGGTAGATTTGTTCCATAATCTTCCCAAAGCTTAGCATAAGGCTGGCCAGACTATACTTTTTGTTCTGTGTTAAACTGAATGTTGCATTTGTCTCTTTTCAGTCATCAAGGACCTCCTCCAACTCCACAACCTTTCAAAATCATTGTGATTACAATTCTTCAGTGCCTCTGGCATAACTAAATGGCCATTTCTGGCAAAATTTCTCTCACCCCTCTTTGTTTCACAGACCATAAGGAATCACAAGCTGTAACATATTGGTTTATGCATATTTTATATTGGCTAAGCAATAATATGAATATAATGTTCATATGTTTAAGTTATGTGAATTTTTTTTTTGCAGACCAAGAGACATAGTAGTTTGTTTTCATTATATTCTTCAGGAATTACTGATAAAAGAGATATATACCTTATGAATGCAAAGACACCTGTAATTTAGTTATTTGGCAGAGAATATACTCTTATTATTCTGTACACAGTATTAGATTTGCCTCACATCAGTAGCTAGCAAATTAGAATTTCCAGGATGCAACTCTTTAGACTAGATTTATCTGGAAGGTGCTGAGCTCTTGTAGTTTTACTATTAGTCTTGGTCTTCCACATACCACCTTTTCTACTAGGTACTTTGTTTTTCAATCTGTACAATTCTGTGTTCTATACTTTTTTAAAATGGTGTCCAGACCAGCATGTAGAGTTCTTCTCAGCAGGATTTATCTGGAAATCACACAGATAGGGAAAGCAGTTACCTGCTTTCGAAGGTAGCAGCAAAGACCTAGCTTGGGAGATATCTTATCTCCAAGATAATATTTGCCTGGATTGGGACGAGCTGACTTGTTGCCACCTTAGAATTTTATGGATCTGTGACTTTGATGTTAATGTATAGTGCAAGATTTACAAGATACTTAGAGTGGATTTTTGCAGGTTTGCCCATCCTTTGCTTATTATCCTGACTTACACTGCTGTGACTATTTGGTTTCTCTCAGTGTGTAACAAATCACAGTATGCTTCCCAAACCAGCCTGTGATATCTATTTATTTTACACTGCAGTGCTAGTCTGAAGTGTGAATAACTCAGATAGATACATTATTAATAATTAACTTTCAAAAGCTTTCAGAATATTAACTCAGAAAAGTGCAAGAGGACTGAACATTTAGGGGAATGGGCATGTAGAGCAGGTTTATATAGAGCTGTAAATAAACCAGGGGAAATTGCATGCTATCACATCTGATTACTGCCCTGAAGATCTTTCAAATACACAGGCACAGGGATAATGCCAGAGTAGATTAGCAAACTCCTGATTGCATTTGGTTCCTACAGAGATTTTTTGTTATGAGGTTATTTATGTTCTGTCCAGTATTTGAATTGAATGAGTGGAAGAAATTTAACTTCTGTTCTCTTCCATGAAATTTTACCTTCTCTTCTCTTCTAGTGCAATCATGGAACACAAAGAGCTGTTGAAAGTCCCCTGGGATTGGCAAATAGGTAAGAACACACTTTACCTCATTGAACATGAAGGAGGTGTGGAGACAGCCGGTGTTTGGGGAGGAGGGCACAGAGTTTCAGAGGAGCCAATATTTGTGACTTTTCCACTGGTTACTACCAAAGGTTGAGCTACATGCCTCATAACTGTTCTTAAATGATCTGTCCTCCATAGCTGTTCTATGCCTTCCTTACACGATTAGGTTAAGCATATGAATGCTGTAAGAGAATCATTCAGACAGCCATGAAGTAAAACAATAATGGGGTTCCAGTTCTAAGATTCAATGCAACGCTGGGGCAATAAATGAAGTAATAATTAAGAGCCAAACCTCTTCAATGAAAGCCGAAGAAAGAAAATGGAACCTAACAAAATAACCTGAAAAAGTACTCGCAGTGCATATTATAGCCTCATAAATTCACTTCCAGGGGGAGCATTTCTGTATGGAAGTGTTTAATTGCATTCCAAATGGTCTTGGTGGAATATAGCAGATGTGTCCTTTAGACAAGTTTTGGGAGCATTGTGCCCAATGATGCTGTTATGGTGTTCTGCCAAGCAGGGAATTGCATTTTCCCATTTCAGTTTGGAAGCTGAGTTTATGAGTCCCTTCTAATTAGTCCAATGAACTATTTGTTTTAAAAGCAAATCGATATTTAGGGGAGTCCCTGTAATCACTCATTCACTATTTAGGACAATAGAAGAAATAAAGGAATACCAGTAGCATAGAGCTGATTTATTGCAGAGGGTTCAAGCTTTTGAAATCCATTGAGAGTAGTAGCTCTTTACCTAGTTTCAGACTGAACATCAAAATGACAACTCAGAAGTGTGCAAAAACAACTGATTGTGTGGAGAATCCCTGAGGGGAGACAAATTGTGGAATGCAGTTTGTTTCTTTAAACTTAGTTCTCATTTTCCTTTCATCATCCTAAACCTTGATAAATACTACACATTTTTCACAAAAAATTGCACCTAAAAATCTTAGAAACTTGATGGTTGAGCTGTAAAACTAAGTGACAAATCAATTTAAAGTATCCATGGAGAAACACACTCAACTGTATATTATAAGTGTATTGGCCTTCTTTAATCTGAGATAATTAGCATAATTGCATCAGTGTTTGTTTCTATTTCATGAGAGGGAGCTTAGGGACATAATTAATCTGGTACTGACGGAACTATCAGTGGTCATAGTGAATTAATCTACTATCCATGTAAATGTCATATATACTTCTATTAGATTTCTGTTCAAACTCAGTATCAGTGAAATGTGCTATTAAAATAAGGTCTTACTTCCAAAATGTTCCTGAAAGTTGATTACTAATTCTGAAGAGTCCTTATGCTTCACAAGGCTGAGATCATCTTAGCAAAAGCATCGTAGATATGGACTTGTTTTGCTAGAGCAATAATTGGAAATGTGGTTTAGTTGAACGTGGATTAAATGGAGACAGTTCTGTAGTTCTTCCCAGGCTTCACTGCACCTGGTGTTTCCATTGCATTGGCAGTGATACAAGATTGTCAAAAAGTGATTGTCAAATCTGTGTCAGGGAGTTCACAGCCTTGTCCTGAGTAGTTATCCACTGTGACAGAGTCAAACCTGCAGTCCAGCAGAGTTAAATCATCAGCCTTCCAAATGGTGGTGATAAAGTCACAGCAGGCAACCTAATAAATAACTCAAGGTGGCCTGTTGCCATCTGCCATAATTGTGCTTTTAAGATCAAATGAGCTATCTTTTAACTGATGCAAATGATTTTTGAATATAAAGATCTAAAGCCAATCTGTTATGTCTATCATGTTTAAAACAGGCTGTGGCCCTCCTGGTGTTAATTTTGGAAATTGCCCTGATACATATCATCATCTTCACACTTAGTGTGAATCAGTGCAGCTCTGTTTGAATCCTTGAAGGTTTAAGTATAAATACATGCTGACAACTAGCCTGAAAGGAGGATGATTTTATAGTTTTAACTGAATGGTTTCACATGAGACCATGACAAGTTTTATAGAAATAGATGAAATAGTAACAAATAAACTCACATCAGTTTTATTTAAGAGAAAAGCCTGTTTGTAGCTCCAAGGAAGTGCCCTTTGTTACTGGGGGTTGAATATTTCTGAATAGTCTTCATTCCAAGGCAGTATGAAAGATCATAACTGATTCCATTTCATGCCAATTAAACATTTGCTTTTAGAGAAAAAGCACAGAGGCAACATTCGTGCATCATTGCACCATGCAACATTCAACCAGCTTACTCAGGAACAAGACCAGAAGTTCTCCAGTCATGTTGGTCTTGGTCATACTTGGGCTGTTTTAGAGTGGTCCCTAGGGACAGATCCTGCCCATCTGTGTGAAGACACCAAGTGTAAAGAGAAATGGAGAATTACTGAGGGACTGGGGCTTGTTCGGCCTGTGGATAAGAAGTTACCTACAAGGAGGTCATCAAAAGGACAGAGCCGAGGCCTTCACAGAGGTGCATGGCAGGAGGGTGAGAGACAACAGACAGGAGCTCAAATGACAAATTCGTACTGGATAAAATGAAAATATTCTTCACATGGAGGACAGGCAGGCAGCAGAACAGGTTGCCCAGAGAGGCTCTGGAGTCTGCTGGGACTGCAGCACTAGGGGCGATTCCCAAGGCTGCTATTTGCACTCCATGGTTACCTGAGGAGGCTGAGGCTTCAAGCTGTTGACTTAAAGCATATTTTCAGTCTCAAAATTGGCCCTGTAAGAAGCAGTATCTGAAAATCATATGATGTTAATTTCACTTGTTTATTGTCATCACTAAATGCCACCCAGCTGGTGGATATTACATGTATTTTTTAGCTGTAAATGAAATGCCACTTTATATTCACCTCTTCTAGGACAGCTATAGTTCAAGCAATTTTCCACTGGAACTAAAATGCCCTTTGGAAAAGCTGGCTGTGAAGCTGGCTGTCAAATAATGTGAACACCAAGGCAGTACCATAAAATTATACTGTAAGTTGAGTGCATAAACCAGCAAAGCTGTGTTAAATCCAGACAACCAGAGGCTTGGTGGACCAGCTGGTGATTTGCAAACTGTACTTTGACAATGCTGACTTCTGATCCAGAATGGCTTTAGTACCTGACCTGTTCTTCTTAAGCCTGAAAGAAAAGCTGGCTTAATGCTTCTGTATGCAAAACAATTTCCCGTTGACCAAAACTACACTCCATATGGCTCAATTATTTGCCTGCTACGGAAGAGTTGCAGAGTTTAAATAAAGCAGCTTTCAAGCACTGCCTAAAATTTAATTCTGTTACCAGTATACAGTGCTCACCTTATATATTTACTCCCTATGGGTAAAAGGAGGTTTTGGCCATATTCTGAATATAAATTCAAATTCCTTATCATACCATAACATGTATTGACACTGATAGTTTGTGTCTGCTGCATTTGTTTCAGTTGAATGTACACTTCAGTTCATATGCTTCTACGGGATTCAATCTGTCACAGCCAATTTTGTCCTTTAGATAGCTTTTTAAAGAATTTTTAAATAAATGCATCCAAATACACATATATGGCCATTATATGGCCTTTTTTGTTATCTTTTCTAATCCCTTTCAGGACTTTGGCAATCAGATTTTCTACAATTTTAGTCAATAACATGTTCTGAAGAGCTGGCATGAGTCTAAATTTAGGCTCATGCACATATCAGCTGGGAATTCTGTAGCATACGGCAGCCTAAGAAATATCATTTGCATGATAGCAGATGAGTAAAGTGTTTGCGGTTTTTTAACTTCATATTGATTAATTTGTCTTGGGATTTATCAAGTAATAACTGAAGCAATGAATTTTTTCCCGGTAAGTTATTTAGGTTTTTTAATTAATTTAGATTTTTACTGTAATGTATTTTTATTCTATTAGAGTCTAACAACCTAATTTGTGTGAGGCATGCTGTAAACATGTAGCAGGAAAGAGTTTCAGCTCACAGAAGTTTTATTAAGGAAGGCAGACGAAAAGGAGTAGAGGAACAGAGGTGCCAAACTGTGAAGTGATTTGTCAGTTTTGGTGGCAAAATAGGGCTAGGACCACTGCCACTTGAGTGCTGTCCTCATGCATTCATCCATTTGCTCATTAACTGCTCTGCAAATAATCTTGCATTCATATTTTGGGTCCATTCCCAGAAAAATACTGTGTGCTCCATCCAACTCAGCTGAACCCTCTTGGTGTTGAGGACATTCAGCTCCTGCAGATACTAGATTTGATATGTTCAAATGTGTCATTATGTCCAAATCTATGCTGGACATGAGTAGTCACTGGTAGTATAAGACACCAATGTGAAACAACTTCGTTGTTATGGAGATCCCAAAGGACCTCATGACCCGTGTTGGTATGGTTTTCACTCTCCATATATGTGTATGTTATTAATTTGATTTTTTCTTTGAAAAAGCATTATTCTTTCTTTTCCTAAAAGCACAACCTTCTTCCTCCCAACAAAGTCATTTCTGCAGGCTGAAAGGTCACTTTGCTTCTTGTCTCTCTCCTGCAGGCTTGCTGTACGTTGGCTTTAGTGCCTGTATGTTTGGCCTCTACAGCTTTATGCCAGTGGTCATAAAGAAAACCAGTGCTACTGCCGTCAACCTCTCCCTGCTCACGGCTGACCTGTACAGCCTCTTCTGTGGATTATTCCTCTTCCACTACAAGGTATGTGGAAATGGGAGATGTATTTGGGTAATAGCAGTATGCCTGAAGAAACGTCAGTGCAGAACGAGGAAACAAAAGAAGCCTCCAAGCTTTGCTAGATCTGAACAATACAATACTTACACAATAGTATAAGTACAAGTTGTTTTTTTTACTTCAGGCTTCCTACACAAAAAAAAAATAAAAATTTTATGATTTCATGTTTTCTTAGAGAGCTCATTTGGTCTTTTTGCTACAAGTTTTAAGATTTGAGTACCTGTTCATCAGCCACTGTATCATTAATTTCATCTTACTTATCAAAGGTTATTTTCAACAGCTGTGAACAAACCTAAGGTGGCAGCATGAAGGGAAGGACTCTTCCAAAATTCCCATAGATACTTATTTTTTTTTTGCCTGGGAACAAGATTGTTTCACTCATACTGATTCTGAATGTAAAACTAAATTGTTCATAAATTGCGCCTTTCTCTTGGCCATACCAGTGTCTTGTGTCTTATTATAAATGCCAAAATGTGCAGTGTATTTGTGTTGAAGTTAAACTTTGACCTCCCAGGTCCCCTAATATTCAAAACACTATGTTGTACAGGACCACATTTGACCTCCAGTTATGAGGAATGGCACCTCATTATTCACAAGTATCCCCACACGGTGTCCATCCTGTGAAAATAACATTGCAGTGCTGGAAGCAATTGCTTTCTATTATCATTTATTCATAGGAGGGAGGTTACTTGTTAGCTAAATTGTATTAGAAGTGTTAGACAAAAGAAAGACTTTGAATTCTGAGGGTCTAATCAACTCAAATCATATTTTGTTATAGTAATAGTACCTGAATGAATCTGAATGAGACAGTGACAGTTCAAGTCTTCAGAGTCCAACACACTTTGTCACTGCTGTCTTTTATTTTGGTTTTGTGGCTTTGAGAATTTTGTAGGCAGTAGGAAAGCAGGAATAGAAACAAAAATTTGACTGAAAACACAGTGTAGGGGTTGCCTGCTGCTTTGCAGCTCTGTCTCATGGTGATATCGTTTCTCCTTTCTGCCTCACGCTTCAAATCCAAAGTGTTAAGGTGTTTAACTTTAGGTGTTATCTGAAAACTTCTATCTCCTGTTAATATTATTTGATACCCACAGACAAATATATTTAGTCATGTTAGTCCACTGTTTCTAAGAAAAATTACTAAATTGCTCAGTGAAAAACAAATGTTATTCTGAAAACAGTGGTGCTGGTATACTAGCAAAATCAAACTCCAGTAAAGGGAAAGGCTCAAAAGGCAGCAGAGGTTGGACAGCTCTTTGCTCAGCATTGTTCAAACCTGACAATAAAGACAATTTTTCAAGCACAAACTTTAAAGTTCAGACACCTGAAAGGCAAAAGGTGCATTAAAGGTTTAATTTCTTCCCTGTGTCTAATTGTTAGATACATTAGCACAGCCAGGAAGGCAGAAATTTCGGCTTTACTGACCCCCATCTTTCTACAGTAAGTATGTTTCAGCTCCCATCCATAATGGCATCTTGGTCTCCCTTCAAGACCTTTATGGGAAAAGTGCTCAAGAGTAGAAGGCTTAGAACTGAAAGGTTTCCTTGTTGAAAGCATCCATCTCAACATGTGATAAACTGGTTGAGTTCCACACTTGAAGTAACTGATGGTCTCCTCTTCCCCTTGCTCTAGTTATTAGAAAACTGAAAATCTCATTTTCCTATGGTTACTATATGTATCATGCTGTTGTTTTCATAAACACTTATCAGACAGTTACTTAAACCTGTTCAAGTTTTTTACTTCCACTGCTGTCTTTGGAAGACTTTCAGAAGATTACTTCTCCAACAGTTACAAACCTCCTTATTTCCAGCATAAATTTACTTGTGCCTCATTTTGGTCGATTCATCTTTTTACCAAGAATATCCATTAGCAGCAAGAATGCCCATTTCCATGGCATTTTACTCCATTGGTACGTCAGTAGACAGCAATCATATTGTCTCTCAGCCCTTAGTTCACTAATCAGAGCAAGCCCTTCTCTGCACCTCATCTGGTTGTATTTCATCAGATGGAGAAATGTGTCTGGCCTCTTTGGTAGCTGAATATCCACCACTGCCACAGCATTTAAATATACACCACCATATCTTCAATTTTTAATTTTTTTTTTAATTCTCACCATATTGATATGTGTTATACAATTTTTATATTCAAAACTTTTCTAGCTGTCTGTTCTTATTTTGCCTTCTTCTTTAGCACAAGTAACAGGACTGTCTTTAGCCATTCTTTGTTATGGATACATGGGCATCTGTGTTGCTAAAAAAATTCAGGGCCACCTCTCTAGGTGCTCAGAGTTAGAACTTTTGTATAAATACAGGGGCATTTTTTATCAAGAGTATTCTTTTTTACATTTTAGCCTCAGCTCTTTTGTTATGTGAACTTTTAGACTTACTACTTTTCCTTTGCAAGCCCTAGGTTGTCTTTAGTCATTCTAAGCAAATTAGGTTCTCACTAAATAATCTAATCAGTTTATTTTATATTTTCCAGCAGCTAGAGCATGAATACTGATTGTGTTCTGGACTAGCAGGTTGAGTCACACTATACTATATCACTACCTAGCAAGCCAAACACAAATCAATTATATTAAGCCTTGGCAAATTCATTCATGACTTTATCCAAGATGCAGCTATAAAAATTCAGGATTTCTGGCTATAGTAACAATTCCCAATTGAAGAAAATGCATGTATTTCATAATGAATCAGGGAAGTCAAGTATCTTGATTCAGAATCTTGGAGAGTATCTGTGATAAAGGACTTGGATACACAGATCAACATGATTTTCAAATCCTTCCAGGACCAGAAATCTGAAGTTATGCTAGTTGAAACCTCATTTGCTGATACTCAGTGATGTTTCTAAAAATTACTTTTCAATATTAATTCTAGCAGCATCCATCCAATGGAAGAAAGCAGATAAAAGTCTTCTCATTATCAAGAACAAGCCATGAAGACTGGGGTTTTTCTGGATGGAGAAGAGAGGGTGAAGGTTGGGGAAAGGGGGTTCCAGGTTCTTTTTTTGCCAGCAAAGATCCTAAGCAGTGCCTGTGAATTTGGGATTTACATAGTCTTCACTGGTGAAAATTTGACCCTTGCTAGAAATATGTATTGAAGACAGTGTGATTTTTTTCTGCTGTCTTTGGTGTGCTTCAGTTCATTTTTCTAAATTAGGAAAGCCTGCCACTCAAGGAATCATGTTTAAAAAAAATACACATTTTCATGCCTATGCAGATGAAACTTTATTTTTGACCTTGACTCTATATGCTTCAGGCAGTCCTGGATTTTGTTGGAGCAGGATGGATACAAAGTCTGTGGTTTGATGGCAGAAGTTAAATAAAAATGGTTTGGTTTGGGGAAGGATTGTTTATTACTTTGATTCTTATTTGGCAGCCATCCATAAACATCTGACAGACTTCTCTGACCTAACTGAGAAAATACTTCAGTTTATATTCTCACCTTTTTTTTTTAAACTTCCCTGAAAGTACAAGCTGAAGTCAGTAAGATCTTTGCTTGCACTTGTTAGGGAATTAACACCTACCTTATTTTAAACTTCGACAGTGGTGTTGTCAGTGGTGCTGTCAGTGGTGCATCATTATTTCTAGTGAAGCAGGCAGTGCAGGCTAAAAAACTGTTTTTTGCAATATCACTTTCTCAGTCATACACTTAAAAGTATTTTTCTGATAAAATTTGGTATGCAAGCTGCTTGATCCATAAACTTTCTATTTTAATGGAATTTAATCACACAGGGCTTTTATCCTTGTGAATGCTTCTAAGCCTGTGATAATAATGAGGGTAAGGCATGTTGCTAGTTCTTTATGTCATTGATAATGTGCAAAAACCTATCTTCATGCTTCCCTTTCCAAAGCATTTAATTTCTTACAGTGAGAGTCCCTCTCAATACCTCTGCTCCCATGAAGCTGTACTGTCTACATGCCTTTCATCTAAGCAGCATTGTTTCCAAATTTATTTTAATTTATTTATTTCATTGGTTAGGTATTTGAATTTTCTCCCCCAAATTATAGTCAACTAGAATACAGTTAAGTGTCTGTATTTAAAGGGTTGCCTTGAGGTGGAAAGGAGTTAGGTGTGTCTTTGGTCACACAAATTCCTTTGACAGAAAGGGCCCCATCCACTCACCCTTTTTGTGATGGTGCAGGATGGCATACAATAAAAAAGCTATGAAGTAAAATGACAGAAGAGAGTAGAAGCTGGAAAACTAAATGCCTCCCACCAAGATGTTGCACAGCCTGACAGATTTTTAACAACACAGCACAGATATGGCAGCTTTTTCAAAATACTGCATTTTTAAAAGGATGTCTTCTTTTGACAGTGCTATCTTGCAATAGATTCATTAGTTGCAAAGCATGAATAGTGAAACATGGATGCTCACTCCTTGGAAGTCATCAAGAAGGGTGTAAATGATGTGGCATTCGTATTGCAGAAGTTATGATAAAAGCTTCGATTTAAAATTATTTTTTCAGACACTAGCTCATCATAAATGTCAAGATTTTAGCTTGTTTTCAGTGGTTTTAGCTTTGGATTTTTTCATTTGGTCTCATTTTCAAAGAATGCACAGAGCAGAACTGATTTGAAGCTTCCTAGGAAAATGCATTTTTGTTGGAAATGCCTAATTATCAAAACAGAAATGCTAAGTGAACACATCTCGATCTTAGAACCCTCCAAAGCAAACACCACCACTACCCCCTTTTTATTGTGGGTAACTTCTGAATCACATCTTTCTGAGTGTCACACCTTCCTGCATATGTCGAGTGTTAAAATGTAAAATTTATGGAATTAGTGAAGAAATTATTAGGGAATTGTTCAGAGATCTCTTAAGTAAACCACAAGAGTATATTGTGAAGTGTAATTGTTACAATCTGAAGGAAGTAAATAGCTTTTAACTCCTACCCAGTATGAGAGTTGAAACATATTAGAGGAACTCTTCCTGTTAAATTGGAATTAACTCTTGGATGATAAATCCTC